TCTTCAAGCAATGACTGTCAAAAAACACTTCTTTTCAATTTTGGAAACATTACCTCAGAATCCACAAAATGCCTTTGGTAGTAATAGAAGCCTCTTCGACAAAGGTTACAATGGTTTAGAGCTGTTTTTAAAAAATGTCTTCTATAAACCTGATGCCAAGTATCCTTAATCTAAAATGAGAAAGAAAGCAAAAATCAGAGTTACTATATACTCTTCATGTTGATCAACCACATTGAGAAGTTATACATAAAATTTATTTATAAAATAGTTAATTAAAAGGGCAATGTTTTTACTCTACCAAGCTTTTTATCCATTTTTATCCACTTCTCAAAACAAAGATTAGATTTACTACTACTTTGACTCCTTACCAGTTTATGTACTTAAAAATTAGCAGCATTTTAAACAAATGCTGTTATTATAGTCAAACAATCATCTTGCAGCATAGATAGGGTGGAGATTATCTTCCTCTAGTTATAGGTAAGGAAACCAAGGCAAAAAGAGGTCAAAAGCATTGTCTAAGGACAAAGACTAGGAAGCTAGTCCCAGACCATGTCCATCAACCCAACAATATTTTCTTTCTGATTACTACATTTCACTGCTACCACACCAACGATCCCTACCACTTTATTACTATGTAGTTTGAGTGTTTGATGTTCTTTCACATCATCTTTTTTTGAGCATAACAATAATGTTGAGCAGGTAGAACAAAGATCAACACCATTTGACAAATAAGAAAAGTGGTGCCAGAGAGATTATAACAATTACTAAAGGCAGTATTACTAGCTAATGTAATGTAAATATACTGGAATTCACATCTCCTGACATCTAGTTGATCCAATATTCTTCTCATGGTAGCTCGCTATTTTTTTTATAGCTTTATAAAGTACGCCAAACAAAATGTCACTCGAAAAAAACCGACATTTTCTTTTCTTTTTTTTTAAATTTTTTTTTAATTTCAGCATAAAAAACTGACATTTGCTTGCTCATAGAAAGTAATTAA